GGATATGAAGAGCAATATCATGAATCCTAAACCTAGAACTATGGGTTTACCGCCGAGCATATCACTAGTTAGGCGCCCAAAACCATGAAGATCCCGGGCAGCATTGCGAGTCACATGCCTAAACTATGCATTTACCAGGCGCAAACATGCATTCACCGGGCATAAACATGAATATGCCGAGCAGGAATGCGAATGTGTCGGGGCTAATCCCAGGCGCGGATTTTCTAACATAAAAATAATGGAAAAAATCACCTACCACATAGAAAAACATGAGGGATAAAACGCTTACTTGGAAATCAGGAAAGATGTACGGCGGCAGGGAAGAAAATCGACGGCGGAAAGTACGGTGATCCTATGAAATTCTGGAAAAACAGCGGCGGCAAAGGCAGAGGAAGGAGGAGAAGCGCGAAGAGGAAAAACAGATTATGGGACCCAATGATCCTATTTATAGGGATGACGTGGAATACGAAACGTCACCCCAGGGGGACCACGAGCTTCCCCTCCTCGACGTCTACTCTCCTAAGCAATGATGACTCTACCTTCACTAGAGTGGCATCACGGTTGCCAAGGGTTGCCTCGTACACTCATCGAGCGCAGCCCGTAAAGAGTCCCCCGAGCACGCCTCAAAAGAGATTATCTCACGAACGCGACACAGGAGAAACTCCTCGAGCGTCCACGGGGAAGCAAATATCCTGGCCGAGCGTAAGGCCCCGTGATGAATACGGACCGAGATCAAGTCATGACTCCTGCTCCAGGAGCCACGACTTGGGGGGCTCCTGTTCTGGACTGGGCCCGTCCTGGCCCAAGAGCAAGAACGAAGGCCCAATCCAAGCAACTCTAGAAGGGGCGCGCGCCCAAAGATGTCCACCAGTGCGTCGACCAGAAGCTACAGTCGTGCCCGCCACTGCCCGCGAACACGACGTCGTCGACCATATGAAATTCAGCTCGAGCCCAGCTCGGGCACCTTCCTCGTAGGGCAGACTATGACCGTTACTCCATCCCTTGAACTCCGGAAAGACCGCATCCTCATCCCTCCGTACTTCTCGCACAGCATCACCAGAAAGGGGACCACGTGCGGGTCCCCACTACGTACGTAGAACCTGGCAGTTCCTTTATTGGGCCAGTCTTGGCCGGCCCAATGAAGGGACCTTGGCCCCGCGCTGGGGGCTATAAATACCCTCTGCTCGTACTATCACTCACTTTAGCATCGGAGTGCCTTGCAGGTATCCCCCCCATCTCGTCCAACTTCAGCTCGGAGCCAGTCGTGACGGTCCAAGTCTGATCCGGTAAGATCAAAAACCATCATAGTTCTTTTTTTAAAAATGTATTATACACTTTTTTTCATACACAAAGAGATTGGTATGTTAAGTGTCCCCTATAGTAAGTGTAAAATGGATTTTTGGACCACAAAGATTTAAAATAAAGGGAATTTTTAATGCATCCTATGCATTATTAAGAGACATCATGAAAATATAATATTACCCTCAGGTTTCAAAGATGCATTTTCGTACGCACTAAAATTCAGTGCAAATTAGAATCAGGCCTTAAATCAATGGCAAGAATATTACGGAGATACATCTACATATAACTTGCGTAGATGTATTTTCATACGCACCAAAATTCAGTGCAAATCTGAATGAGGCCCTAACTCCACGTAGAATTATTCCGGAAATACATCTTAGCACAACTTACGAAGATGAATCTTCATAAGCTCTTAGTTCAAAAAATGCGCCAGAAGCGCTTCAACTTCCTCGTTTTGTCAAGCTCCCTCACAACTCATTTTCGCAAACTCTCTCAAACCCCCTTTTGTCGAACTCTCTCAAACCAAATTCAAGCAACATCAAACAACGTCAAGCAACTTCAAACATCCAACTTCAAGCAACAACAAGCAAATTCAAGCAATTATTTGTAAGTTTTTTGTAAACTTTATTGAGTTTATGTATAACTGTGTAGAAGTCGATTTTTATGTTACGAAATAGACATGTTTTACATGTTTGATATCTTATACCTAATGAGAAACAAGTTAGATATGTATTTTTTACGATCAATGCATTATTTTTATTGCTTTAGGGGTCTGCATTCCGCCATTGACGATGGTGAGAGTTTCATATTATTACGGAGATGCATCTTTGGAAAATTTCAATGTTTACCCGTTAACCGAATATGCATCTCCGTAATCCATCAATCTGTAATTTTTTGCCTTTTGTGTACATAACACATTCTGTAACGTTTGTGATGTGGTTTATTTACAAGAATTATGGCTGATAAACAATCTTGATTGGAACACGACCAGATTGCACAACATGCATCTATTCAGAGGGAAAAGAGTCAACAATTGCAAATACTTGTTACCTTTATCCCGGTTAATGCTTAGGCATCAAGTTTTAGGGCTCATGTATCTCCTTCACCTTCTTCCTCTTCCCATAGGAGGCAGGGGTCTCCCCATCATGAATCATTGCATACATCTTCCCATAGACGACAAAGTTCAGATATTTAGGCACCTGAGGAAGAAGAGGTACCCGAGTCACCAGAGGTACCTCAAACACTAGAGGAACCTGAGACATCCCAGACCCAGGAGACAATAGTGGCACCTGAGGTATTTGAGACCCATGAGGCAGCAAAAGCACCTCAAGGGTTTGGAGGAGGCTCGTCTGACTTATCACTGCTACCTCTTTATCCATACCATGTTTCCAAACATATCTGAGACGGAGAGGTAAAATTTAGTTGGTTTGAATCTTTTGAACCTATGTTTGTTATAATATTAAATTATGTTCGTTAGATTCATTATTAAATTTTGTATGCAGGAACGTGATCCGCTAAAAATTATCAACCATAGGCAGAAGATGACTAGCCTATATCATCCTAATGAGTCGTGGTTTTATGAAGTTTTGAAGTTATCTATGATGTGAGACTTATGCAAGACTGGTTATGTTACAATTAACTATAGTATGCTTAATGCGTTTGTAGAGAGATGACACATGGAGACATCATTATTTCTTCTACCACTTGGTGAGGTATCTATCACACTAGACGATCTCTCGTGTCTACTTCCTTTTTCGATTAGGGGAAACTTTTAGATCATGAGAAGGTTACTAAAGATGAGGCACTGGAGTTGATGGTTGACTATCTAAGAGTTGAACCATAGGTTGCCATGGGAGAGTTTGAACCCCCAATGGGCTTATACTAGGTTTATCTTCTTGAAAAAGATGTATACATATGAGATACTGAGAGCACAACAGATTGTTAGTGATAACGAGCAGGTAAGGCAACGTAGAATGTGTGTTATGAGAGCATATCTATTGTATTTTGTTGGCAGTGTCATTTCTATAGACAAGGGTGCCAATTATGTTGATGTCATCTACATGTGGTACATTCCTAGAGATCCTTATGTGTTTGCTTCTCCCACTGTGAAACGCAGAGATATGGATGATATGATTGATGATTATCTTAATCATTTGGTATCAGAGGAAGCACGAAGTACCATTGCTGAGAGAGATTGAAGCTACGTAGATAGCTACATCTGATGGTTCTTCCAAGTGTCACATCCTTATATGGTGCAGGATGCTCTAAGAGATCCACTGGGTCAGCTCATCGAGAGATTCTAGAGGAGGAGCGGGCTAGGGCAGATCATGTTGTTGATGTATTGTCTAGATGTCGTTGTATCATGGAGATTAGGCAGATGAGTATTGACAGAGAACTCTTTCTGAATGGCTCTGAGGCGAGGGATGTCGTAGATGTCATGATGGCGGAGGCTCAGGAGGCACTGTTGTACATGAGGCAACGTGGAAACATGGGGCACGAGACTGAGGCCAAATCTGATTCCATCATACGGAGTATATTATAGTACTTATACTCTGGATTTATTTTGGGTTGTATTTTATTTAGCGAATTAGTTATAACTTTTAGGTTGATTTTATGTACTCTTGATTAATTACTTTATATATGTCGTTTTCTGCATATCTTTTGTATTGTCAAATTCATCATAGTATACCTTCTAACTATTTCATCTGAAAATCACTTAAAAATACTTAGAATTTACTATATGCACTGGATATATAGATACATCTCTGAATATTTTCTGATACAATATGGAGATACATTTCTGAAACAATCTAATGTTTAATAAATAAAAATGTAATACATAGATACATCTCCAAAACAATCAGACGTTTAACAAATAAAGATGCCTCCAAAAATACATCTTCAAAAATTGAGAGACATTTTTTAAATTATACAAGATACTTGAAGACACATAGGGTGTGGATTAAAAATTCTCAAAATAAATGTTTGCAGGGTTAGACTTTAGTTGTGGTACCCTATATATAGTGAGACAAGACATACACAAGGTTTTAATGTCAAGAGTCAAGACATAATATATCAAAGACTATTTAGTGGCCCGTTAAAAAAGTGAAATTCTATTTAAAGTGGCAACAAAGGAATAATTTAGAAACTGTTTTTGGCACACATTCAGTCACCTAATTAAGTACCAGCTCTAAACCCGGCAAAAGAAATTATATAATATTATGTTCAATTGATTATGCTAGCTATTGAAGACCGTCTACTTTTATACTTTACATGATTTCAGACAAAATTCAAACACATAAAATTCCTGATTAGTACTTTTACCATAGCTTGGCCTGATCGACGAGGAAGAAGACGTGTAGTTTAAGCTAAGTATACTAAGATCACTTCAACGTTGATTTTTTGCCTCCTATAAATCATAAACAACAAGAGAGAAAAAAAGAGACAATTTTTTGGGTAAAGAAACTTATATTAAGGATAGTAATTAGCAATATGTATATAAGTTTATAAAGAAGCTTCAATTTTCTTAATGGTTCAATTCCTTCAGGGTTTCATAAGTTTCATGCATCTTCATTTAAATATAGGAAAGATTGGATGAAAATGATAGAAAGATTTTGTTCGGGAAACTGCACTCCCCTCCAAACTCTCAAAGATAATCTTAAGGGAAACCCAAGGTTATGTGGTGCACCTTTGAAACAATGCTATTTACCTTCTTCCCCTACTACTATTTGTTTCCATTAGTAGTCTCACAAAAAGTGCCTAGCGATATCTCAAACAAGAAGCTTAGTAATGGGAAAAAATCTTTCAATGTGATTCTCTCAAAAGATTTTCAAGGCTGCATATCAGATTTTGGTCTAACATCTCTAACAAGTTTATGTGTCTCCTCTAAAGTCCTCCGGTCTACCAAGCAGCGGAGGTGAACGAAAGCAGAAAATCCACTCAAAAATCTGATGTATATAGTTTTGGTGTTCTTCTCCTTGAAATGCTGACTGGGAAAACACCAGTTCAGTATCCGGGGCATGATGATGATGTGGTTGATCTTCCAAAATGGGAAAAAATCTGTTGTTAGAGAGGAGCGGACTGCTGAAGTATTTGATCTTGAACTAATGAGATATTCAAATATTGAAGAAGAACTTGTTCAGATGTTGCAACTGGCTATGGCATGTGTAGCAGTGATACCTGATTCAAGACCATCGATGGATGAAGTTTTTTAGGATGATTGAAGATACCAGAGTATCAACTTATTAGCACCACCCACCATTCACATAAGACAGGCTCAAAGTGTTTCATGCTTATGCACAGAAATCCATTGCCATGTTTGAAAAGTGCCTAGTAAGATTGATTTGAGGTCTTCGCAGCAAAAGAAAATCGTCTGTGGTTAAGCATCTTGGTATTTTCTATTACCTTTACATGATAGCTTTAACTTAACGTTTAAAACCATTAGTAATCTCATTTTTATGGTAATAAATTATAATGGAGAAACAGAATATTTATTTATTTTTTTGTTTTAAGGCAGTTATGTATACATTGGTTTACATCAGAAAAATTGTCATTAGACTTATATGCTATAGTTGTCAATTTATACATGCCCTTAAATTTTGGTCCAGCTCACATGATTGGGGGGCAAAAAAATTCTCATTGCTAAAGTAACTTCACTTAATGTACCCAAATCTATGAACCTCTCCTTAGTCTCCATGACTAAAGCTGGCCTACAAACCCTCAAAAATATAAGAATAACTAACTTATATAGGAACATTTATATGATAAACATTTATTTAGAAAAGCTCAATTAAATTGTTTAGCCAAACACACCCTAGATTCCTATCAAATGCACCTGAGCTTCTAACTCGTGATGCAAATTTTTAAAAGTAACATTTCCAACTTTGAAAGCAATGAGAAGTAAAGGTCACAACATAAAACTCTATATTCTTCCTGATACAGTATTTCCTAATATGTTCAAAGAATTGGCATACAGATGTTAAAAATGGCCCAAATTGGCCCAACCTATATCGGTATTCTGACTAATGTGAGTGAGGTTACTGTCTGTTATCGACGGTCAAATAAAAATGATGACCGTGTTTTTAACCCACTATTAAAAATCAATTACTGGTGTTTGAGGACTTTTGGTCAATCAAATCAACACCACTGACATAATTTGCAAAAAATGATATCAGACGAAATGGAGCACCAATAAGAGGAGCATCTGTTATTGGCACAGCATCATCATTTTCCACATTCTTGGCACCCTGCAACTGTAGATCTCTTACATCATTATCGTCCAATGGAATTTGAACAATTTCGTCAGAATCATCATCAGGTAGTGAAGAGTTTGAAATTACTCCAACAGCATGTCCGGCATAGAAAGAGTCGCTACTATCATTCACCGCTGAGGTCTTTTCTAATGAATCCGACTCCGGTGCAGATATAGACGTAGCCTCAGATGAATCGGGCTCAGCAGGTTTAACAAATTCAGTCAGACCATCAGATCCAGTAACTTCAGATATTGTAGTTTCTGTGTCTCGTCGATCCAGCTCAACACATAGTTTGTGGACCTGAGGATATAAATGGCCTAAGAACACATCACACATAACACTATCTAAAAAATCTAACCAATCAATTTAAATCCACTAATACAAAGAAGAAAATCAAATCTTTTAGTAAGTCACTAATAAAATCATTAAGAACCCTGCATATTTACCTTCTCAACAAGTTCAGCATTTTCAGCCATCAATCTTTCCACTAACATATAGGCCTCTTCAATTTCAGAAGCACCGTCCTGTCCATCATTAAGCAAAATATTGTCAGAGGCAACATAAAACCCTGCTACAAGTCATATGAACACACTTGACAAGTAACAATAAAGAAATCTCTTTCCAATCGGATAAAACTATCAATGATTTCCTTATTTCAAGAAAATTCATTTTTCTATGAATAAATATGTCTTGTAGATTTTAAACATAAAGACAAACCTTTGCAGATGCACCCTGTGAAGCAGAAAAAGAGATACTGCTTTCAAGATTCTGGACTGTTGAATGAAGACCTGACACATTTTCCCTCAATTGCTGGTTTTCTAGCAAAAGATTATTCTTGGACTCTTCCAACTCTGCCACCTGCCAAGCTTTGTTTTTAATTTCCATATCAGAATTAACACAGGTTTGTTACAAAATGGAATTGACCAAATAACAATATATGAGGGTAATTCATCCAGTCAATTTTTATAAATAATGGAAGTTGGAGAAAAGAATACTTAACTAAAGAAGAAAAACATTTATGTCAGAAGGCAATAAAGATAGCCAAAATAACATTAGTTAAGCCAAAACGAAGGTATTAATGAATGTATTCAGACCAAAACAACTAAAACTATAGCCTGAATTGTTACAGAAGTTTAGCCAGAGTCTAATTAAGAAAATTTTGGGAAATATTTATGTTTCTCATTCAGCAACACAGGGGAACCCGCTATGGGGCTCATAAAACTACTCATACAAGTTATGGCTCACACTTGCAATAACAATACAATCTATGTTGATAGAACCTGATTCCAGAACTCAACACTACATGATAGTGTTTCAAAGATAATGATGAGAAAATTAAGGACAATGATACCTGAAAATAGTAATCCTAACACTTTCTTAGGTTTTTAAGAACAAAATATTCATGTATTATTAATTATATATACATTAGGTACATACCTGCACTTGTAGCATGCTGATGTTTCCTTTCAGATTTGAAATAACTTCTTTCGCTGAATTCTGCAAATTAAACATACAATCTCTTGTAAGGTACAAAATCACAAAATAATTAAAACCTTAAATGACTCTTCAATTACTTAAATAAATTCAAATCATTCATAAGCATATCTGCATAATAGCATAAGAAAATCCATAAGTAAAGTCATACAAACTCACAAGTCTCAAACAAGAGAAGAAGTTATTCAATTCACAACTTACAGGGGCAATTCCATCCAATTCCACCAAAATAAGATTATGTGTATACTCTTAGCCGCTGAGGGTAAGCATCATCCCAAAATCGTGGGATTTCCGATTCAAATCTGGATTTTTAACTACCATACTCTAGTACTATTCTGCTGATTCTTCACCTCAAACTACCAGAAAACTGTTATGACGAACATTCAAATGCTTTCAATTTAAATAGTTGTTACAACATACGGCTCTGGGTACTTTAGTATCCTTACTCTTAGAATGTATGGGTTGGGCCTAACTCAACCCTACAAAACCGGTTTGTAAGGTGAGGATTGCCCCCATTTATAAACACATGTTCAGACCATATATTGTCCGATATAGGACTCTTAACACCCCCTTTCACGCTCAGGAATTGCGTCTGGAGCGTGGAACTAAATGGTGGGTGGCCCAATGGATCTTAAATGAGATTCTGATACCATCTTAAAATGTGTGGGTTGGACCTAACTCAACCCTACAAAATCCGTTTGTAGGGTGAGGATTGTCCCCACTTATAAACACATGTTCAGGCCATATATTATCTTATGTGGGACTCTTAACACTTACCCTAACCCGACCATACGCTATCATTCCTAGTTACTCAACTAAGTCGGTACTAAATACGCTATCATTCAGCTTACTTATACTATTCTGAGTACAGAACTAATATGCCCATTTATAAATGTGTAGTAAACATTTCTCTTCTAAACCAGTAACGCGTGCTGGCTATGGTAGCCAAGGGAGGTTCACGAGACTATGGGTATTGTCAACACTGTGGAGATTATGCAATAATAATATGGCTTGGTCTGCAGTAAAGTCAAGATTGTCAAGCTCAAGAGTTAATAAAAACTCATGAAATCTTCGTAGACTTTGATGCGTAAAGTCGTAAGAGTTTACTTGATACAAAAATAAAAAATAATGTTTAAAACAAATATTACAGATAGTAACTGTGAAAACTGAATAATATATTTCAAGTTATGAATAATGTACCAGCATTAATCTGTTTACATAAGCTATTCTAATCTATCGAATAAGGCCTGACTAATGGAGTGAATACAAATTATTACTAATAATAATAAAATTGAAAATAATATTTGGCAGCAAAACGATTTTTGAAAGAATATACACCAACAATGTTTGTCTGGTACCACAAATCAATATTTCTAATGATTTTATGAAAAATGAATACAACCCATCAGATATACAGACAATTCATGACGTGCAGAACAATGAATAATATTCTTGAATGCTGTAAACCTTTTGAGAAACAACTATCACCCAATGATTTGAATATGAAGACCGGACTTGGACACAGACATGGAACACAACACGGACACGAGGACACCGCACCGCTAATGTAAAAAACATAAGACACGGACACGGCTATATATATTTTATATATTAATAAAATAATGCAATTTATGAGCATAATTTATGAAGAGTCTAAAATGAGAATTAAAATTTATACTTATTTAAACTTAGTACTTTCAATCAACCAAAAAAATACTTAAATTGAGTACTTTCAATTAAGAAAAATTATCTAAAACAAAATGATACAAATCATATCATAGTCACTCCACGTCTCTAAGTCAGGCTAATCCAAAGACAAGTTATATGTTATATGTAATTAACATATAACATAGAGTAAAACAAAGACAAATAACATATCTAATTAACATATAACATTTATGTCATAAATTAACATGAAACATAAATAAAAAACAGAGATAATTTACAAATAATATCATGAGTGAAGCGTCGTCGCCGACGTATGTAATTAATAACAGAAAACAGAGACAAATAATAAAGAAAAAAAAGGAATGAGTATTGAAAAAGAAAGAGTGGAATACCAGCGGTGGCGACGATGGAATACCGGCGTGCGGGGAAGATAAAAACAAACAAAAAAGATGAAAACAAAAAAAGATGAAAAAACAAGGAATACTAATAGATTCAGAAATTTATGTAATGTGAAACTGTTTTTGATTGGTTTTTGGAATGAAACATGATGCTCTATTTATACAAGAAAAGTTGAACATTCAAGTTCTACATTTAAGGATGACCTTTCTTATTCTATTAAATTAAAACTGGCCTTACTTATTCTAATAAAACTCTGGGTATTTCAAAGGTCAACCTCCACCAGTGGAAATTTAGTAAAAAATGAGACTCATGATATTTCAAAGGCCAACTTCCACCAGTTGAAGTTTAGTGCAAAACTTGTTGATCTTTCATATCCTAAGATATCACTAAAAATTAAATCTAGGCTATTAATATGAAGTAGGACTCATCATATTC